GTTTTGACCTTTTCCCGGTGTAGTATTTTGTAATGAGTGTATAATAATTGGTTGCGTTTTTTTTTTTTTTTTTTTTTTTTGAGACGGAGTCTGGCTCTGTCGCCCGGGCTGGAGTGCAGTGGCCGGATCTCAGCTCACTGCAAGCTCCGCCCCCCGGGTTTACGCCATTTTCCTGCCTCAGCCTCCCGAGTAGGTGGGACTACAGGCGCCCGCCACCGCGCCCGGCTAGTTTTTTGTATTTTTTTAGTAGAGACGGGGTTTCACCGTGTTCGCCAGGATGGTCTCGATCTCCTGACCTCGTGATCCGCCCGTCTCGGCCTCCCAAAGTGCTGGGATTACAGGCTTGAGCCACCGCGCCCGGCCGCGTTTTTTTTTATTTTTTATTTTTTAGCTTTGACTTATGGTGCTTCTATCTCTTACACTGTTGTATTGTTATAAAAGGATTTTCTGTTCTTTCCTTGATCTTCAGTATAAGTAAGAAAAGTTTAAAAATTGACAAATTATACTGAGCTCTTGCTATTTTACTGTTACTATTTTTCTTTTGTATCTTGTTAACTCTGTTTTCAGAATTTTTGTATGGGATTTTTCCCCCCTTTTTTTGGGCTGTCAGTGTATCTGTTTTAAATACTGTCACAGTAACTTTGTAGTGTTTTCTACATAGTTGTACCTCCTACTGGGAGTTACATGTAGCAGATGCTTAGCATGGTCAGGGCTAAGTGAATGAGTGGGGTCGGGGATAGGGAAGGTTGATACACTAATTGATTAGCCTAGAATTATCCCTTAAAGGTATAGAAATTTACTGCCAGCACATAAGGATTATGTGCTTTATAAAGTAACTGCTGCGAATATAGCAGGCATTTAAACAGTATAGCAGAACAGGTAGTCTGTGCTAGATGTAAAATAGGTCAAATTTTGAAGTAATTTGGTTTAAAATGGACTTTTACGTGTAATATAATGTATAAGATGGAATAGCTTTGCTATAAATAAAAAGTACTACTCAAGAAACGTGTAACTAAACATGTCCGTTTAGCATATGGACTACACAGTGCAAAAACTACATGTTTTTTGTGGGGTTTTGGTTGAAATTTATAAATGTTAAGGCTTTTGCATAGAAAAAAAGTTTTCCTACCCTTTTTACCCGCTCTATGTACTATTTTTTGAGCTATTAAAAAAAAACCTAATATAGCATTATATTTTCAGAAATTGGGAAATCTTTAAATAATTTAGTTTTCTTGGCCCCCTTTTAAATTAAAGGATGAGTATGATAAATAATGAGTATTGAGACTCCAATTCTATCTAACTAGCTGCCAGAACTACTCCTGATCAGTTTCATTCAGACAGAATTTGCAAGCTCACCACTGTCAGGCACAGTGTAAAATCACAGAGAAAGATGAAGGTGGGGCCCAGACCCTGAGGAGCAGGTAGGCCTGAATCACTCTAGGTGAAATGCTCTTCTAGAGGGTCCCACAAAATGCTGTGGTAGTTTTGAAGGGAGAGAATGGAATTCTCCATGGGAATATATATTTATTGTTTCCTTTACATTGTGGAGTGTGCTAACCCACCTATGATTTCCCTTAGTTTTTCCTTCTGAAAGATGATCTGCTTTTATAAAATGATTGGTTAGTTTAAGGAAACATACTGAGGAAGGAGTAGTTTTTGTTCCATTAAGACTGATTACCAAGATCTCAATATCAAAGTCTAATTAACTGAGCAGATTTACCCATGACCTGGTTTGCCTAGTCACAGAAATACACGATATAAATCAGAAATCAAAATCACTTTAACATTTTAATTTATTATTTTTTAAAAAAACTTTATTTTAATTTTTGTGGCTACATAGAGGTGTATATATTTATGGGGTATGTGAGATGTTTTGATACAGACATACAATGTGTAATAATCACATAGTGTAAAATAAAGGCATCCATCTTCAAACACGTATCCTTTGTGTTATAAACAATACTTTATTCTTTTGTATTCTGTTTTGGACTACAGATAAACTGGAATGTATTTTAGAGGAGAGAGTAGGAAGGTGAAGCAACTCAGGACCTATTTAGGAAGAACAGTTGATGAACGTTAGTTCTCTCAGCTATATAAAGGGCTTTGTGTGAGTGAATGAGCGCAGACTCGTTCTCAGTGGGCAACAGCAATGGTTAGAAGCCATAGGGACTTGGCAGCAGGTTAAAGACAGACTTTGTGGCGGAGCTGCTTAGAAGTGGAATAGATTATCCTAGAAGGTAGTCGTGGGGAGTTTTTTGTCATTGATGGTGTTGGAACACAGAAACGGACAACCTCCTCCTTGGGGATGGATGATGTGTTAGTCATTTGTGCTGCGATGACAGAACACCTGAGACTCAGTAACTTGTGAATAATAGAAACTTATTTTCTCACTATTCTGGAGTCTGAGAAATCCAAAATCAAGGTGCTGGCAGATTTAGTGTCTGGGAAGGTGTCATTCCTCATTGATGGTGCATCCTCATGTGGTGGAAGGCAGAAGGGAATGTGAGAGCAAGAAGGGGCAGGCAGCTCTCAGAAGCTTCTTGTAATGGCATTGATCCAGTCACTTCCTGAAAGGCCCCACATCTTAATATTGTCATATTAGGAATTAAGTTTCAACGTGCAGGCTGGGTGAGGTGACTTGTGCCTGTAATCACAGTACTTTGGTAGGCCGAGGTGGGTGGATCCCCTGAGGTCAAGAGTTCAAGACCAGCCTGGCCTACGTGGTGAAACCTCATCTCTACTAAAAATACAAAAATTAGCCAGGCGTGGTGGCACGTGCCTGTAGTCTCAGCTACTCGGGAGGCTGAGGCACGATGATTGCTTGAACCCAGGAGGTGGAGGTTGCAGTGAACTGAGATTGTGCCACTGCACTCCAGCCTATGCAACATGAGCGAAACTCCATCTCAAAAAAAAAAAAAAAAGAAGTTTCAACATTTGAATTTTGGGTAGACACAACATTCAAACCACCGCAGGTAGGGAAGAATTCTCTAGAGAAGCACTATAGGGTAATGGAGAGCTGTTGTTATTTGTGGAAATGTTGGCACATGGTAATGGTGTGTACCACAGAACTGTTGAGGACTGTTGGACTGGGTGTTACTTACCGAAGTTTTTTGTAACTTTTAGAGTCACCAGCCTCAGTTATTCAGTGAAACAAAGAGCGATTTAAAAAAATCATCCAGGCAGCTGGCTTAATGTATGTAAAAGTGCAGTGCTAGGTAGTTGCTGAAGATACTATGCAGACGTTTGCAAATGAGACAGTAATGTGGGTGTAAAGTAGTTATTTGGGAAAAAATGAACAAACAAAAAATGTTTATATGTTGAACTTCATTACTCATCATTTGAAGTGAAAAAATTATTCTCTTTATACTTCACCCCACTTCATTAATCTCTCTCTAAAATTGCAAGGTTGACATCACCCCATAGTAGTAATATCTGTTCATTAGGTTTATTTCCTTGCTTTATGCATAATGTCTGAATTCCCAAGGCCAAAACTTCTTAGTTTTGATAATAGTATTTGTTAAAGTTGAGAAAACTTTTCCTTCCTTCCTTCTTTCCATTCATCCTTCTTTCCTTCTTCTCTCCCTCCCTTTCCTTTCTTTCTTGCTCAGCTCTTTCTTGACATTTTCAAATATTAAGGTGGCTCTTTGAAGTTTAGCTGTCCAACAATCTGAATTTGTTTGACATTTTGTTAAAGATTCCGAGAAAAGTAGTATTCTGGTGTTTGAGTGGCTTATTGATTTTTTTTCTTTAAAGATTGCTCTGAGGTGAATTTGAAGTAAACTTAAGACATTGGATAGTTAGATTTGACATTAAGTCTCTTTAAGCATTTGGTTTTGGTTTCCAAGTCAGGAAGGGCTGAGTGTCCTGTCATCTGACTCTGTGTCACAAAATTCCAAACTTGATGTGGCTGAGCCTGTGATAGTCTTCAAAATACCATTTTGGAGGAATTTAATGTGAGTTTATCAACTGAGTCGAGTTGTCTTTTATACTTTAATAGAGAATAATACTGCATTTATCTCACATCCTATAAGACAAAACTGAGGAAAAACCTTTTAATGACTTCGGGTGTATGCTTTGAGTTATTTTTACCTTTATGATGATGTTTTTCCTGAGTGAGTGGTTGTGTTTTGACCAACTAAGCCCATTTATTTTTTGAACAGTTTAAATACAACAATTAAAATAACCCCTCCCAAGAAAAATTCTCAAAGACAACTAGCCTTTGGAATATATCCAAACAGTTTTAATAGATGGTGCTGGAAATTTTTTCCCTTTGAAGGAGACATTAGTAACCAATTTTCTGCCTCAAGCCTACCTTTTGCATTGTTAATTTGCAAATAATGAAGTTTTAAATTCTTGTCTGTCTGTTTGGGTGACTTCAGGCACCTGTCTGTTTCAATGATAGTTTTGTCCAAGACTGAAATAAGTTATACATTATGTAAACACTATTTTTTTCTTTTCTTATTTTTTTTTTTTTTTGAGATGGAGTCTAGCTCTGTCGCTAGGCTGGAGTACAGTGGCGCAATCTCGGCTCACTGTACCCTCTGCCTCCCGGGTTCAAGCAATTCTCCCGGCCTCCCAAATGGCTGGGACTACAGGCGTGCGCCACCATGCCCAGCTAATTTTTGTATTTTTAGTAGAGACAGAGTTTCACCATGTTAGCCAGGTTCTCAATCTCTTGACCTCATGATCTGCCCACTACAGCCTCCCAAAGTGTTGGGATTACAGGTGTGAGCCGCCACCACACCTGGCCTTATTTTTTTCTTATAAAACATGAACATTAGTAGGAATAGGAAGAGTTTTATGGAAGGCACGTTTCGTTTCTTTCTTTCTTTCTTTCTTTCTTTCTTTCTTTCTTTCTTCTTCCTTTCTTTCTTTCCTTTCTTTCCTTTCTTTCCTTTCTTTCCTTTCTTTCCTTTCTTTCCTTTCTTTCCTTTCTTTCCTTTCTTTCCTTTCTTTTTTTTTCTTGAGATGGAGTCTCGCTCTGTCAGCCAGGCTGGAGTGCAGTGGCGCGATCTCGGCTCACTGCAAGCTCTGCCTCCCGGGTTCACATCATTCTCGTGCCTCAGATTCCCAGAAGGCATGTTGCTTATAACACATGAAAACATGACCATTAGTAGCATAGTATTATTAAGGATTGAAAATTATACCAATAATTTTGTACTAAGCACTGTAAAGTGGAATTGGTAAGTCCTAATCTTAGAAAACTGGCCACCTTTGTAATATTGCATTTAAGTTCACAAAATAATAATTTAGTGGTAGGAAAGAAACCGAATAATTTTTAAGGAAAGAATAGAAAAGTGGAGAAAAGAAATCCGGAAGAGCAATCTTTCTGTTTGACAGGTATAGAGATTTAACTGAAAATTTCTATATATTTAACATAGATACTTTTGGCTTTCAGAGAATGTTTACGTATGTTAGATTGAAAGATGTGGGGGTACTGAGGTCTATAAAAGCAACTATTAAGGTGTGACTAGGGTCTAATACTAACCAAATAGAAGGCTGCCAAGTGTCCTGCTGCTCTTTGGAAATAACAGGTAAGTAAGTGGACTGCTATTCTGCCAGTTAGGGTTTTGGTTTTACATCTTGCATATGAGTCTGTTTAGATTCCGAATTAATTATCATAACCTAGGCTGGTTTTTTCCTCGTGTCTATTTAACTTTTTGTGCCAGATTATTTTACAGATTTAATGTGTTATGTAGTACATCTCTGGTAGTGACCAGAGATTTACTCCTTTTTTGGAAGCACTTACTTTAAAAACTCCTGAAGAGTTGTTTTGTGTTCTAAATAATTTATACTTTTTCTGAATAACTAATACTTGTTCCTTGTATCATTGTTGTTAAATGTTCAGCATGCCTCTTAGGTATTGGCTCAGTGTTTTGCAGCAGACATTCACCATGGTGTTTCCCCAAGGATGCCCTTGCAGCAGCATTACCCTGGAGTTGGGAGGCATTCTTGAGGGACAGATTCTTGAGGGACAGATTCTTGAGGGACAGGTTCTTGAGGTGTTTTTGAGGTACTGACCTGTATGGTTGCCTGTCGTGATTTTTGAGGGGTGGTAGCCTATCCAAAAGTTCTCAGTATTTATAACTGATGATCTAGTTCTTGTAGGGTCTTAAACTTAAAAACATTCCAGTGAATTAATTGTACAGCATATGTATCTATAGTCTAGGCATCTTAAAATTCCAACATAGAGCTTTTAAAAATGCTTGTATGTTTAATGTAACAATACAAAGCAGCAAAATCCCCAGAGCATCCTGCCTTATAATCATGAATTAATAAAGTTTGGTGAGTGATTGGACCTCCCAAGGGTCTCTCTAAGTTAACCACTATAACTTCCCCTCAGCCCTCTTCTGGTTTGAGGCAGAGCCTCTTACTCCCTTGGGGAAAGACTTTGTTTTTTATGCTTTCGTGATGATTCTGACATTTTTGATGATGGCTGTTTATTACCTTTTGGCTGCTCTCTTAATTCAATGTTACTCCATTCCATTAAAGAGTTAATAAGGAAATGTGTTTTAATTTAAAAATGTGTACGGTATAAGTTTGCTAGGAGAGGTTAGAAGGGTATTTGTTGAGAAAAAAAAAAAGAAGGCATTTCACTTCCTTTTGGGTTGGGAATCATCTTTGAAACAGTAAACATTCATTCTAGTAAGAGGCTTATTACAGCAGTAATAGTTGAGGGCTTGCTATGCAATAAACTTTTAAGTACATTAATTGAATAATCAAGGTAACTTTGTGAGATAGGTACTGTTGTTAGCATTTGCATTTTACAGATGAGGACACTGAGGCATAAACTGATTACTTCACTAATCAGCTGATTACTACACAGCAAGTACGCTGGGTACTTGGGACTCACACCCAGCAGTCTGGCTGCCAAGACCACATGCTTCCTTGCCAGGACTGCCCTGTTACTTTTGATATGGTGTTATCGTTCATATGTCTTGATTTTCTCCTGTTTTGAGGTCTAAGTAAACCACTTAAACATTTTGTATGTTGGTAAGTTGTAGCCTAGGTTCAGTAGCCTCTAAAGTAGTGTTCACAACAACTCTTCATCATATTCCCTATGTAACAGACAAGGAAACTGAGCTGGTAAATGGTAGACTGTGCAACTTAAGCTGGATCTCATTTTTTGTGGTTAGTCTGTTATCTCACTAGTGGTCATTCCCCAGCATGTGAGTTTTGTTGTTCACTTTTCAGAGAAATATTTTGCCCAACTGATGAAGACAGAAGTGCAAAGTCTCATCTTAAGCACCTCTTCTGGTGAGTGATCTTTTTTGAGGTACTAACTATGCCAAGCTTTGGGTAGAACAAGTTTAGTTATACTCAGTATTCAGCTTCAGTTGATTTTTCAACCTCCTCAGGAGAATAATCTGCTTTTAATGTAATGTAATTGGCTTTTATGTTGCTTCTAGTTGTTTCTCAACAGTTCATGTGCCAGGGAATTTGTAGACATAATATCACATCTGAGGCAACAAGGAATTTAGTGGGGGAAAAAGTGAAGACTGTCAAATGGAGGTTTCTTTGGTCCTGTCGGAAGCTGTCTTTTCCTGGCACATATATGTGCACTTGATATTTTTAATTGACCTGTCTTTCTGATCTTCAATTGTGGCCATCAGGGAGCTTTCAAATCTTTCCTCCTCCTCTTCTCCTCTCCCAGTTGTCTTCCTTTTTGTGGGACTGGCTATACTGAGATGAGCACAGAGATGGCTATTTGTGGGGTAAAGACAAGTAACTGTCTAGGCCTGATTAGAATCACGTCTCTTTGGTTTGTGGTCAGTTCCTTAACCTAGAGCTAAGAACCTCAAAAACATTTGGAGGCCTTTATTTCAGGTTTCTGCTTTGTTCTGTCTGTAGCTGAGCTCTTAGAGTTAAACTACGTTAGTGTCCCTGACTGGTCTCTCGGCTATCTCTGTAAGGATTAAACTGCCCCATTGCCAGACTCCTTGTTGCTTAATGTAAATTTGATGAAGTGCCAGAGAGCTTTAAGCTACCCTACCAAATGTCAAAATTAGTCATATGGCCGTTCTTGATCATGGTAATTGGAAAGAGATTAGGAAGGGGAAAGACATCAAAATTCATGAATAATTCAAAATGTTCATTATTTTGTTTCCTAGCTCCACTTTCCCTTTTTCCTTTCATAAGTTTTTTTTTTTTTTTTTGCCAGAAATCACATTCTGAAATTTGATTTAAATCTTCATTGAGTACTTCTGTGTATTTAGTGTACCCTTCAGACATATCCCTTAGAGGTATAGCAAAATTAATACTAAAGGAACACTTTCTTTCAATTTGCATACGTATGTTTTTTGTTGGAAAATCAGAAATTATTTAGTTTTCATTTCTTTTTTTTTTTTGAGACAGAGTCTCGCTCTGTCGCCCAGGCTGGAGTGCAGTGGCATGATCTTGGCTCACTGCAAGCTCCGCCTCCTGGGTTCATGCCATTCTCCGGCCTCAGCTTCCCGAGTAGCTGGAACTACAGGCGCCCGCCACCACACCCAGCTAATTTTTTGTATTTTTGTAGTAGAGACGGGGTTTCACCATGTTAGTCAGGATGGTCTCGATCTCCTGACCTCATGATCCGCCCACCTCGGCCTCCCAAAGTGCTGGGATTACAGGCGCGAGCCACTGCGCCTGGCCTAGTTTTCTTGTAGTAAGTATGATTGCCTGCCAATACCTTTTACATTCAATATTTTCTGGTGTCAAAAAGATACATTTTTAGCTATATCATTTGGTCTCAGAGGTTCAGTATATAAAATTATCTGAATATGAGTTTAAGTTAAACTTACCTATTTTAGAACTAATTAGTGGTTTATTCTATCAAAGTTTTAGTTTATTAATCATTTGAATTTACAATTAATTATTTAAACAAGTATTTATTGAGTACCAGCTATGCTTCCGGAGCAGAGATTTTAGTCTGATTTGTTCCTTATTCTACACTGGTGCCTAGAACAGGACCTGACACATAATAGCCATGGACTCTGAGAGAAGTAGAATATATAGGCTGAAAACATTTTAATGTGATGTGTTTGCTGACCTGAGTAGTGATACTTACCACTGTCAGATGAACATTGTTGATACTACACAAACTCAAGACATTTTTGAAACTATATTGCCTCTCTTAGGAATGAACATACATTTCCTACAAGCTCCTCAGCATACTTTCTCTTCTCTTTAGCCAGGACTGGGTCACATGGCCACAAGGAAGACTCAGAATACAGTTACCCTAACAAAGAGGCATGAGATTGGGCACAATCCAGTATATGGAACTTTGTTACCCGAACAAATGAGGAATTTAGTGGCAAAGAGGAAGAGGTAGAGAAAATGACTTGTTAGGCTACTAGTAGTGACCATTACAGAATTGGAGAGAATTGAATCTAGACTGGGTTTAACTTTGTACAATGCTGTGAAGAAAGTAGTTTCTTAGTGTATATACTAGTAAGGTGTTCATTAATTTAGAGTTTTGGTTTTAGCTTTTATCCTTTCATATGAATTAATCTGTTTTAGGGCCCTACTAGAATAAGATTTTAGAAGCTTATAGATGGCAGCATCTGTCTAGGTGCCATCCAGACTCTTGGTTACTCACCATTTTAAGTAGAACAGTATGGAACTTAGAAGTTAAATGAATGAATGAATAAAACGACTTGAGCATAGATCATCTAGGTCCATCACTCTATGGTATAAGACATACCTCACAATTATCCTTGTATTCTCTGAGCTCCAAGGAAAGTCCAGGGCCCAGAAAGACTAAGGAGCTCAGGCTCTGGAATCAGATGAGTTTTCAAATGCTGCCCCTGCTGCTTCCTATCTACGGTCATGCATGGCATGATGGTGTTTCAGTCAGTGGTGGACTGTATATATGACGGTGGTCCCATACAATTATAATGGAGCTGAAAAATTCCTATAGCCTAGTGATGATGTAGTAGCCATCCTAAAGTCATAGTGAGATACATTACTCATGTTTGTTGTGGTGCTGGTGTAAATAAACCTACTGCACTGGCAGTTGTATAAAAGCATCACATATATAGTTATGTTCGTTACATAATACTTGAGCATGATAATAAATGACTGTGTTTGTGGTTTATGTGTTTACTGTACTTTTTAATCATTATTTTAGAGTATATGCCTTTTACTTATTAAAAAAATTAACCATAAGCCAGCCTCAGACAGGTCCTTCAGGAGGTATTCCAGAAGGAGGCATTGTTACCAAGGAGATGGCAGCTCCATGCATGTTATTGCTCCCGAAGGTCTTCCAGTGGGACAGGATGTGGACCGAAAAAATATTTTTGTATAGCTATACAGTGTTTGTATTTTAAGCTATGGTTTATTACAAAAAAGTCAAAAAAATTTTAACTCAAAAAGTTTATAAAGTTACAGTAAGCTAAGGTTAATTTATTATTGAAGGAAGAAAAGTATTCTTAAAACAAGTTTAGTGTAGCCTACATGTACAGTGTTTAGAAAGTCTACAGTAGTGTACAGTAATATCCCAGGCGTTCACATTCATTCACCACTCACTGACTCACCCAGAACAACTTCCCAGTCCTGCAAGCTCCATTCATGATAAGTGCCCTATATAAGTGTTCCATTTTTTATCTTTCATTTTTTTCCCTGAGACGGAGTCTCACTCTGTCGCCCAGGCTGGAGTGTAGTGGCATGATCTCGGCTCACTGCACCCTCCACCTCCCAGGTTCAAGGAATTCTCCTGCCTCAGCCTCCTGAGTAGCTGGGAATACAGGCGCCCTCCACCACACCCAGCTAATTTTTGTATTTTTAGTAGAGACAGGGTTTCACCATGTCAGCCAGGCTGGTCTCGAACTCCTCACCTCAAGTGATCTGCCCACCTTGGCCTCCCAAAGTACTGAGATTACAGGCGTGAGCCACCGTGCCTGGCCTCATTTTCTATCTTTTATGACATATTTTGACTCTACCTTTTCTATGTTTAAATATGTTTAGGTACACAAATACCATTGTGTTACATTTGTCTACAGGTTTGTAGCCTAGGGGCAGTAGGCTATACCGTATAGCCTAGTTGTGTAGTAGGCCACACCATCTAGGTTCGTGTAGTACACCCTATGATGTTTGAGTAATGACAAAATTGCCAAACAACAAATTTCTCAGAATATATCCTCATTATTAAGCGATGCATGACTGTATAGGAACTGACATGTTAACTTTTCCTCATCTGTAAAATGGAGTTTTCATTGTATGAGTTAAGCAGAATAGCTAGGATTAAATAAGAGATCATTAAAAAATTAATAAACACTTAAATATTAAGCTTACCATGTGTCAGACAGTGTTGTGTGTGCCTATTTAGCATACAATACATAAAAAGTGCCAGGCACATACATAGTAGGTACTCAATCTTTTTTCTTGCTAAATGGTTAACAAGCATTTGTTCTATTAAAATGAAGTTTCTCATGTGTGGACATGAGAAAACTGAGAAACAGCAACCATGAAATTACAGAATAGTTTCAAGTCTTTTCATAACTGAACATGGTCTTTTCCTTTAATCTTTTTATAGTACTTTAGGATGGCTACTACATCATCACTAGGCCATAGGAATTTTTGACAGTGCTTATGTTGGTGAATGAGATAGCTCCTGATTTAATCATAACAAAGACATACTGTTTCAACATGTGCTCATGTTACTGGCTCCCATAAATAAAGCATTTAATTGATGAAAATGTAATCATATTTGAACTCTGGAAGAGCTACCATTCCAGCCTATAAGATAATATAAGGATAAATAAATGATTTTAAATGCTTTTGTCATATTTTGGTACAGTGAGGATAATTTCAGAACTGCAATTTAGTCATCTTGGTATCTGGCAAAGAGGAGGTGCTCGATATCCTGGTACTAATCAGTAATTGCTAAGGAAGCAGGGCTGCGAAGTGGTCATACTTAGCAACTGTGGACCAGGGATTTATAGGGTGGTCAGCCTGAGATTTCCAAACTCATTATAGTATGAATCATTATAGTATGAATATATATACACATAGTATTTAGTATAGTATTCATTATATGTTATATATAATATATAGGTGTATATAATATATTATAATATATACTATATAGGTGTATATATGTTATAATACTATATAATATATAGGTATATATAACAATATATAGGTATATATTATTATATATTATAACATATATTATATATTATATACAATACATAGGTATATAACATAATATATAATATATAGGCATATAATATAATATAGGCATATATGTATTATAATATATAACATGTAGGTATATT